TAAAACACAAGGTATACCAGCGCCATCGGCCTTATCTTCCAGTCCAATCGCCCAGTCAATTCTTGGTGAAAAGCAAAATTGCATTGATTTAACCGTCTCATTAATTGTCTCTGCCGATTCTATATTGTTATACTCGAAGTTATCACTGGTAGAAATAAGCGAAAGCGAGTCAAAATTTTTAATGGAGCTTAATTACTTTTCGCACCTTATGTCACTTTATTACACACATCTGTCACTTTATTGCACAGATCTGGCACTTTTTGTAGTAATGTGCGAAAAACATTATTTTTTTGGTGCTGAATTTTTTCTTTCAAAACCATCTGGTTCCGTTTCAGAAAAGCAATTAATTTAGGATAAGCCCGAATATATATTACCCATAACGAAGACAGCTTTATTTCGTTGAAGTAAAGAATTCTTGAAAGTAAGCTAATAAGAGATTTTCAGAAAATGATTTGGCGTCGTTTTAAGTCTCTAGTCCATAAATTTACGACATGTAATCTCATATTTTGCCCGTGACTTTTCTGGTAATAAATTTTTCGTATGAGATTCTGCTTTTCGAGGATATAGGGGGACAAACGCCATACATTATCTGAATGGACGATTAAAACTGAAAATAAAGGAACATTTTAATGATAAAAATCATATTTTTCTGAAATTATTTCCTTTTTTTATGAATCTAAATCAACTGAAAAGGTAAACAAAATAAAGTAAAGCTGTCAAAATTATAAAAACATTTACCGGCCTACTTGACGTTCTAGTCCATTATTTATTTAGAGTGAGATGGAATGAAATATTACAGTCTATATTTTTCATACACAATATGGGTTAAAAACAAATTAATATATACACATTTCAATCTCATTTTAAAAATATAAATACAATAGTCTAGGAGGAAACGTCGGATGAATTTCGAAATTTATTTGTACGCAATTTTTTTGTCAGATTCCTTTGAAAATATGCCTGATATTATTTAAATGCAGGTTGCCATGGGGAAATTCGGTCCCATTTTGTTTAAAACGAAATTATTTAAACAATTCCAAAAAAAAATGTTTTTTCATATTCTTTACTATAAATGTTTTTGATACAGCTAGTATTTTAAACTATATAAAATGAAATTTTAGTTTAAAATATCACGATTTTAATGAATTTTAACGACTTTTCTTTATACATAAAAATTTTGTCCCGTTTAAAAATAACATTTTTTTTTTAGGAATTGTTTAAACAAAATGGGACAACATTATCCGACAAACGTATTTATATAATATTTGGCATATTTTTAAACGATTCTGTCAAAAAATTGCATGGGAATAGTTTTCGACACTTCCTTCTAGACTATAGAGTAACAGTGTGTATCAAAAGTTAATGAATACATTCGATAAAAGGGAAAGTATTCGTTATTGGAAAAATTCCAAAAACATGTCAATTTTGTTTTAAAATTCCGCATGTTTTGACGTATTATTCAGATATACAGTATGTCCCCCTAAGTTGGAACCATATGGAATACTTTTTTATTATTAATTTTAAGGAGAAAAGTTATTCTTTATAAAAAGTTCTGAATTATCTAAAACCTAGAATACAGTCATCAAATATGAAATTTTTTCAGTGGTATACGAGGTTTGTCAAAAAATATGAGTTTTACTCACGAGTAAAGTACCTTTATTCTTTATACGACTGATAAAATTTGATATTTGATGACTGTATTTTAGGTTTTAGATAATGCAGAACTTTTCATGAAGAATAACTTTTTTTTATAAAATTAATAATAAAAAAGTTTTCCATATGATTCCATCTTAGGGGGACATACTGTATATGGTGATGCTTATAAATGCAGTGATATCATCGGCATTATTTTAAACAGAAACTTCCTTTTACTGATAATCTATCCAATTGCTAACCTTCTAATGAAATATGTTGTTATGTATGGGGTATTAATACACTGCGACCTAAAAGATATATTGTGCCCCTTCTGTCGCCAAAGCAGCAAGGAAATAGTCTCAATGTCTATAACAACCCTTCAAATCATATCTTAACAAAAACATTTGGGATTTGGACTGGCTCAAAGTTGGACAGAACGCCCTATCCAATTTGGTTTGGCCCAAGTATAGTGCCCTTGGATTCTGGAGTGCTACACATTCAGTCAGAAAGTGAATGGAGGTTTCGTTCTCCTCCTTACAAAATCCGCACTTACTCTCTTCCACTTGTCTCAATTGGCTTAGGTGTTCCTTAAGTCAGCAATGCCCGGTAAGAATCCTTGTTACTATGCATAGTCTATTCTGGCTTAGATAAATAAAGGCTTTCAATATTTTCTGGTCATAGTCACCCAGAAGTATCTCGATTTATTTTAGCTCCAAGAGACCGTTAGGTCGGTTCATATACTGTCCAATTAATTTTAAAATATCTTCTATTATTGTGTGAGTGCTGATTCTATTTGGGACTATCTGAAATCTCTTTACCCCACTCTTTATCCCTTTACCCCGTTGTGTACCGGAACCTAAGTAAGGGTAATTATGTTTTCCTCGCTTAGTTTATTCAGTTTTTCTAGGCATCTACAAACAATTTTTGAGCTGATTACCTAAGAGCTCAGCGGTTTGATGATTGCTTGGCTATCGGGCATGATGAAAATCTCTTGTCTGCGATAGTTTTTATAGATGTTGAACTGGATACATTTATCAATGGTGGTAATTTCCGCCTGGAAGATGCTTGGGTATTAACCTAAACTTTCAGAGTAGGGGAAGATGGGGCTGAAAGTTTCGGGGATTGATTGTTCCGATGAGTATACGTGCCAGCAGAAAAGAGATAGCGAAACGTTTAAAGGATGGTAAAGTTGCCGAGTGATCGCGCTCTCTCGGCTGTCCTTTTAGTAGTGGTCGGATACTATCGATAGTCGGCACTATCGATAGTTTCCGATAGTTTTAAGAGTTACTATCGATAGTATCGATAGTACTATCGAAACTATAGCAACGCTGATACAATGGTTAATACGTAGTAATAGTAATACATTTTACTTATATTTGAAATATTAAATACCAACTTATAAAACTTTTTTATAAAAAAAAAAATGAAATAAAAAGTGTACATATAAAAAAACAACAAACAGTAAACAGAGACAAAAGAAAACAGGAGAAGTGCTAAATTACTGAGTGCATTCTTATAAATAATGTAGTTTTAATTTTTTTGATCGAATTCCGTAAAAATGAACTTGCAATATACTAAAAACATACGAGTTTAAACTATCGATGATTATTTAAAACAATCGATAGTTTTCGATAGTAATTTACTATCAATAATATCGATAGTGCTATCGATGGTATCCGACCACTACCTTTTGGTTGCATTCAAGGTATCAAGGTGTCCGTGTGTTAGGTGTGTGAATAGAGATCATCGAATGACACGTAAGTAAATATATTTGTGAATAAACTTTTGAGTCTATTTCGATCAATTTTGAAGATAATGATTTGCAACTTGAACTGAATTGATGTAAAAATATTCAGGAATTTTAATTCATTATCGTTATTTGATTTATTTCCACTCTTGAAAATAAATTTGATTAAGATTCGAGAATGGAATGTGGGGTTGGAGTTCCTTTACTTTGGGACTAGTTGTGCCTCGGAACAACTTACCCCGATAAACAAATGATATGCAATTTTTTTAATTTCAGAATGCGTACGTACAAGAGAAAAGCTGAACAAGGTAAAACTTCTGAAGAACTCCTACGCAGAGCAGCTGATGCTGTTATTAAAAATGGCAAAAAATCAAAACAGTTGCAAGAGAACTCGAATTTTGCCACATGACATTATTTCGATTTATCAAAAAGTTGAGAGCTGGTGGGGTGCCTTCAGTGGGTTACAAACCAAGACTGGTGTTCACTCGGGAGCATGAACAGATAATGGCAGATTATCTTCTAAAATGTGCCTCAATCTAGTTCGGTCTCTTACCAGACGAAGTGCGAAAGTTGGCTTACGATTGTGCCGTAAAATTTAGCATGCCACATATTCCAGCTCCATGCCATAAAAACCATAAAGCAGGAGCTGATTGGTTTACTGGTTTTTTGAAAAGGAACCCATCACTGGCTATAAGAACTCCAGAAGCAACAAGTGCAGGTCGCGCATCTTCATTCAATAAGGGAACAATGTGAATGAGTTTTTCAAGAAACTTGGTGACAGGGGTAACGACAGTGTTGAAGCCGAAAAAAATACAAAGAACTATTTCCACGTGATGGTCTTCCTGAGTCAGTGGGAGCAGAAAATCGCTCAGGGTGGATCACGGCTACTGAATTCCTTCTTTATATGGATCACTTCATAAAATATACTAAACCAACCCCAGAGGAACTCGTGTTGTTGCTGCTGGATAATCATCAATCTCATATCGACATTGGTGTTGTCGAAAAAACAAAAGCTAGTTCAGTTATCATGTTATCATTTCCCCCTCATTACATTCAATCACTTGATGTTGGTGTAAATGTTCCGTTGAAGACATGCTGTGCCAAAGTTCAAGACAACTGGCTCCGTAACAATCCAGGAAAGACGATATCTATATATGAATTACCAGGAATTCTGAAATGTGCTTTGCCTTTAGCAGCAACTCCTATCAACATTATAAACTCATTTAAGAAGGCAGAAATATGCCCTTTCGACCCTAACATATTTACGGATGAAAGACTTCGCCCCATCTTTTGTGACGGATGCTGACTTTTATCAGGAAACAGAGCTTAATAATCAGCCTGTCCTATATGTATCTCTGCAGTTCTCATAGATAGCATCTGAATGTAGTACTATTTTCTCCTCTGAATGCGAATTTTCTTTTGACGTATTCGTGCGGTGTGTTCCTTATGTCAAAAATTCAGAAATTTAAAAACAAAATTGACCTTTTTTGGAATTTTTCCAAAAAATAATATAGAATTTATTCTTTACTTTTGATTTGCACCGTATATCATAAATTTAACCTATTTTAATATTTAAACGACTTTTTCTATAACCATAACAACTTTTGCATGTACTTACCTTCATTGTACCGGTGTTTTGAAATGATAATTCTGATTCTTCTCCATTCAACATAATAGATACTGTCTGGGCACCCAACAAGTCTACAAAAAATAAAAAAAAAATAAATGAATGAACAAAACTTACAGTTTTTAATATATTTAGTTTATTTATCGTGTATATTTTGCAGAAAAGTTAAGATAACTTGAATTCGTAAAGTCTGAAAAATACTGTACTGTACAAGGTCAACTTTTTTTTAGAGAAATATATATTTTTAAATGCACCATGTTATTTATTAAGTAAAATAATAGTTATTTATGTACCAAGGCAGTAAAGTGATTCTTTATCGAACTAGTTTGAGATTATGAACCGAGTGAGAGAAGCGAGCGAGGCGAGTAACAGGCGAGTTCGATAAACACACTTTGCTGACGTGGTCCATACAAAATTTTATCGCGAACTGTAAATAATTAAATTAATAAACTAGAATGACTCCCCACCTTAACCCCCATTTTCAATCGATTTTTTTATAATCAATAGGCTTTGTACTCTTATAAAGCTATTATTTTTCATTTTTGAGTTAGGATTTTTTTTAAATATTTCAACCCCCCTTAACCCTTTATTTTTATTCAGATTTTTTTCAGAAACAATAGGTTTATTCTTCTTATGAAGCTTAATTTTCCTTAAGATTTTAATTTGATATTGTTTTTTCTTTCTGAGTTAGAATATTTTTCAATATTTCAATCACCCTTATCCCCCATTTTCATTCAAATTTTTTTTAGAATCAATGGGCTTCATTCCCCAGTAGAGCTTGATTTTACTAAAAAATTCATGTTGATGTCGCTTTTCATTTTTGATTTATGATTTTTTTTATTTCAACCCCCCTTAAACTCTCCATTTTTATTTAGATTTTATTCAAAATTAAGAAACCTTTTTCCCATGTAAAGCTTTATTTTTGCTAAACATTTCAAATTGATATTTTTTGCGTTTTTGAGTTAGGATTTTTTTAAATATTTCAACTCCCCTCAACCCCTCCCATTTTAATTCAGATTTTTATCAGCATTAATATGCTTCATCTTCTTATAGATTTTGACTTTTACAAAAAATTTCATGTTGATATCGCTTATCGTTTCTTATTAACGATTTTTTTTTAATTTTTACCCGCCTCAACCACCCATTTTTAATCAGATTTTTTCAAAATCAATAGGCTTTGTCTGTCCTTATAGAGCTTATTTTTTGTTAAAAATTTTAAGTTAATATAATTTTTCGTTTCTGAATTAGGATTTTTTTCAATATTTCAAACCCCCCTTTTCCCCCATTTCTATTCAGATTTTTTTCATAATTAATAGGTTTCATTCCCTTATATAAAGATTGATTTAATGTTGATATCGCTTATGGTGTTTGATTTCTATTTTTTTTTCGACCCCCCTTAACCCCCACTTTGTTCACAATTTTTTTTAATCAATAGGCTTTGTCTCTTTATAGAACTTGATGTTTGCTAAAAATTTCAAGTTGATATTGTTTTTCGTTTTTGTGTTAGGATTTTTTAAATATTTCAACCCTTCCTTAACCACTAATTTTGATTCAGATTTTTTCAGACTCAGTAGGCTTCATCCCCTATAAAGCTTAATTTTCCTGAAGATTTTAATTTGATATCGTTTTTGTTTTAACCCCCTTATCCACCCATTTTTATTCAGATTTTTTTTAGAATCAATAGGCTTTATTCCCTAGTAATGCTTAATTTTCCCTAAACATTTCATGTTGATGCCGCTTTTCCTTTTTGGATTTATGATTTTTTAAAATTTCAAACCCCTTAAATTTCTACATTTTTAATCAAATTTAAAAAAGGTCTTCTCTCCCTTATAGCGCTTGATTTTTGTTAAAAATTTCAAATAAATATCTTTTTTCGTTTTTGAGTTAACATTTTTTTTATATTTCAACCCCCTTAAATCCCTGATTTTAAATAATTATTGATTAATCAATTAAAACACAATACACGACAACATAACCCACTTTTTTGAAAAGTAAATAACTTGAGAATAAATAATTAATAAAGATGTTCTAATCGTGGTTCTAATTATTATCAATAAAATGATGTATATGCAACTTACGATACAAGAAAGTGATATTGGTTGCCAAGAAGTCTGTGATGTTTAACCAAAACACAATTTTAGCCAAAATTAGAAAAAATATTATAGTTAACACGTTACGAAATGCCGTTTTATATAACCCGTTACATAAAACAAGACATTTCGCAACTGGTTTCATAAATAGCTATTAAATCTATAATATGATAATTGTGCCTGAATCTTAACTAAAAAAGCTTTTTATTTGGTTACCGTGAATAACCATTAATAAGGAAGAAACTTCTTCGGTTGTTACTGACATAAGTAAGATTAGGTTTTAAGTACTGGTATGTAACATTGGCAACTGACATTGCACTCTGAGAGACCGGGAGTAAAGTCATTTGTGCCCTCCGTCTGCGCCTACTTCACTCCACTCCACTCCACTCCACTCCAATCTGGAGTAGTGATGTGATAATTCGAATGGTAACTCATTCGAATATTCGATTTTTACCATCAATCAAGTTAATTCAATTATACCAATATAATTCGAATCAATTTAAATGTCTGAAATTGTAATAAACGAACGAGAGTGACTTCAGGGTATCTATTTTCAAACTTGGAAAAACTCATTTCTCTCATGAATTTGATAAGAAATGTCATATGTCAATTTAAAGCCAGTGAGAACTCACCGACTATTTATCTCGGTTTATTCCGAGAGGATTTAAACTCTCCTAATCATTTTAATTCTCACTGGCTTTAAAAATACTGTTTTTACGTTGACATTTCTCATGAAAATCTTGAGATAATTCACTTTCTCTCGAGTTTGAAAATAGCCCCCTAGGGTACCTATTTTTTTCTTAAGATTTTCATGAGAAATTGTATGGATGGAACGATATTTTCAGAAGTGACGTAGCTCAGTGCTACACTTTCGATGCAAAGGAAAAGACCTATGGGTTGCATGATAAATATAAGTAAATATTGACGTATGACGTTTTAGACTTTGATGTACTGCGTTCTGATTGGATAGTTAACTGTCACTATAATAACTTTTGACGTATTGATCTTGAACTATCCCATCATTGATGATGGCATGTAATAAATCATTCGAATGATATAATTCGAATACTCGATAAATACGGTTTTCAATCATCCGAGTATTCGATTATGACGTTTATTAGATTATGCCCATCACTAATCTGGAGTGCGCAGCTCGAATTCACCTAAAGTAAACGTACAACCGAATGGCGCACAAAAGTATAATTTGATTTTTTTGTAAATACAGGGCAATGTTCAATTATTATTGGATTATAAATCCATTAACTACTTCACACCCTAAGTATCTACTCGGAGAATCCAATGAGTATAACATAGATGGTGTTTTATGTATAATAATAAAGTTGATAAGTACCTACCAACTAATTTGAAATTTATAATTTTTTTATTAAATAAAACATCTTGACATTTCGTCGTACATATATTTTTAGATTTTAACATTGCATACTTTTTGAAAAACATCTAATACAAATTATCAAGAATTACCCCCTTAATAATACGGAAAGATTAAAAAACATCTATCTAAAAATTTGAGTATAATGCTGACTATAACGTCACTTTTGTATATATTGCCTGACACAGCTGTAACATTGATCTACTATTGAGACACTGTCTAAAACGTAGACAATTTTCGTTTTATCTAAAGACTCGGTATAACGAAACGACACTTTCATCCACCCGTGATATTTGTTCTTCATTCTAAAATTCGAAGTCAAAAAATCTAAAAGCCTTATTAAAAAAACGTTGAAAGTTTGCATTTCAGAAATGAACATGAGTTCGTTGCCACTGACCTAAAAAACAAGTTCATTTCGCCAGAATGTATTTCATTTAGAAATAGATTATATATTTTTGGAACATCAAAGTATAATAACGGGCTCGTTTCTGTATGACAATTTTGCATCGCGCAGTAACGGACTGGCACATACGTGCTGACAAGGTACCACCTAGAGCAAAAATAAAATATGGATTAGTTTAGGATTTATTTTTTATTTCATTCTTAAAAATATAAGCTCAAGATCCTACAGCTTGCACCTTTTTATTATTTTTTAAAATTATGCTTCTGACCTACGCACTGTTTAATTTGCGCGCAATCAAAAATTGACATCTTGGATCATATGACGTGGATACAGAAATGTAGCATTTGTTTTCTATGATTACGGTGTAACTATAAGGAATTTTACTCTAAAAAAATGGCAAAAATTGAACAGTGTAAAAGGAAAAATTACGGCAAAACATGTCGGAAGTGCATTCGTGCAAATCATAATTTATTTTAGCTTTTATTAAGTAAAAAATCTGCGTATAATGGCAATAATAATAATACCTATAGCATATATGCAAGTTTTTATTGAAAATTTAAACCTTTAATGAAAAGTACGGATTTTTTTTACTTTGTTCTCCACAATTCCATGACAAAACAGCGCAGGACAAAATGACGTAGAACAAAATACCGCAGGACAAAATACCGCAGCACAAAATAGTGTAAGGACAAAATAGCGCAAGGACAAAATAGCTCAAGACTTAATAGCGCAAAGACAAAATAGCGCAGGAAATAAAAAATATTCCAGTATTTTAATTAAATTAAAAAAAATCTTAACTAATTTATCTAACCTGGCTGCCTGAAACCATCGCAGGTTGCTTTAAAGAAAAAATTTATATACAATTAGAAAAATTAAAAAAAAATCGTTATGGAACCGTTTTCCACATAGAACTTCATAAAATGTAATGACAAATGGAAATAGAGATTATGTTAAATAGCATCCGGCCCGCCATATTGATTACCCAAAACGGTCAATGTTATGGAACGCTTCTTAGTAGGCTAATTATTACAAATAAGTGGTATATACCCAATCATTTCTAAGGGTACAAAAATAATGAAGCGGCGAGGGTAGAGGCACGCGGTGAGGTAAGCGGGAGATTTTTATATCGTACTATATTTTAAACTAGTAAGTACATACTGAATCTCCAAGCGACGAGTTGCCGCTTTCAATTTAAAATACAGGGTGTCCCAAATTGTTTTACCCATGCTATAACTTCTAAACCATGGAAGATAATCGAACCGGACAAAAGTCATCCATTATAATTGGCGGTGTACTTTAAAACAAAAAAAAATTTGATGACCCACCCTCAAAAACTACCCTTCTGGAACAACCCCTTCAAAAATTATTAACGACACCCTAATTTTTTTTCTGCTCGTTTTTGTAGTCGCTACTTTTCTCTGTACAACTGTTTTTAAAATTTTAAAATCGCCCCATAAATAAGTGAGATTCATTTTTTTTTTCATTTTCATCAAGTTGATTGCTGTCAAATTAATGTTAAGTTTTCTAGCGCATTATAAACAATACTATATCAATCTGTCTTTTGTCAAACAGAAGTGCAGCTTAAATACTTGATAGACAGACAGTTTTTACTTGATAAAGTTTGCAATAATTTAGAGTTTGTCAAGTCCTAACAAATTATTTCAAAATGCCTACTGTGTTTAGTTCCAACGAGTACACCGATATGATAATTATTTACGGCGAATGTCGCAAGAATTCAAGACAAGCTAGACAATTATACTATGATCATTTTCCAATTTAGAAAGAAGGCTTAGACAAGGACATTTTCCTGACGGTTTGGCTTACGTTCATGTAAATCCACATGTTTCTATCAGAGATTTGGCACTCGAAATTGGAATAAGCAAAAGTAGCATCCAAAGAATATTAAAAGACAATAAATATCATCCTTATAAAATACACTTGGTTCAAGGTTTACACCCTAATAATCTTAAAAGACGCTTAGACTTTCTCGCTAGAATCCAGGTGAAACTAAGTGACGATGCCACATTCTTAAATAAAATATTATGGATTGACGAATCACGTTTCCATAATAATGGTGTATTAAATCGTCATAATTCTAATTACTGGTCCCCAACAAATCCCCACTGGGCGAGAGAAACAAGGTTTCAATATTTGGGGCATAAACGTATGGTGTGGTTTGATCAATGGTAGGATTATAGGTCCTCATTTTTATGAAAACACTCTAACGGGAACAGGATATTGTGATTTTTTAATCAATACCGTTCTTGAATTGTTGAAAGGTGTTCCTTTTAATCAAAGACGTGATATGTGGTGGCAGCAAGATGGTGCACCAGCTCATAATGCGCAAATTGTGAGCCAATATTTGGCAAACCGTGTTATATCTACGCATTCTTCAATTATCCAGTGGCCGGCTAGATCACCTGGTTTGTCGCCTCTAGATTTTTTTCTGGGGTACTCTATAGGACGTAGTATACGAAACAAAACCAAGGAAGATTTAAAAAATAGAATCAGACATGCTTGTAACAGATTTACACCGGCCATGATTCGAGCTGCCTGTACTGGAAATGTATTGTTAAGGTTTGACAAATGTGTGGAAGTGGAAGGTGGCCAATTTGAGCACTTATAAGTTATTTCTACTCTTTGTTTGATAATTTTTATTTCTTGTCTTCTCCTTCTCTTGTTTCAATGTATTTTTTTAATTATGTGTCACCTAATAAAGTATTTTTTATCATCAACTTGTCATACAGTTTTACTTAATTTCTCACTTATTTATAGAGTGATTTCAAAATTTTAAAAACAGTTGTACGGAGAAAAGTATTGACTGCAAAAATGAGCAGAAACAAATTAGGGTGTCGTTAATAATTTTTGGAGGAGTTGTTCCAAGGGGGTAGTTTTTGAGGATAGGTCGTAAAATTTTTATTTGTTTTAAAGTACACCGCCAGTTATAATGGATGATTTTTGTCCAGTTCGATTATCTTGCATGGTTTAGAAGTTATAGCCTGGGTAAAACAATTTGGGACACCCTGTATATTACAATATAAGAATCTCCCGTTTACCTCGCCGCGTGCCTAAACCGTCGCCGATTCACTATATTTGTTACCCTAACCTGTGTATGCTTCATTACTAACTTATGCAATTTTACACAGTTATATATTTGTAGTTAGCTATTGACGCTGATTTTGATTTTCGTTTCGATAGTCTGCGATTAGTTTACACAAGGAACACTTTTCAAACGCGAAATATTTACTTTGCAAACCTGGCGCATTTCTAAAAAAATCAGATCCTTCCTTAATGAAATCTAAAAAAAAGGTTTTGTGCTCCGTGGAGCACACTTTGAGAAACACTGGTTTACACTGACTTTGATCATTCTGTTATTTTTGTAAGCTTAATAAATTAGTATTATCGTTGATATAAGCTAAAACAAACTGATTTGTAAGATTGCACTTTTGATTTCTGAGAGGTAAAAAATGAGCCGCCATTTTTTTTCCGTAGTGTTCTAGTGTTGCCAGAATCAAACAGTGATAATTTTCATTAAATAATAGTTAATTCTACTAAATGAAGAATCCTATAATATTTGATGAATAAACTATAAGCATCAATTTTTAAAAGTTCATAATATGGATAAGAATACCCGATAATTAGGTAAAATTCTCACCGTTGGCAACGTTGCTGCCGTAAATACACTAGCGAAACTAGCTAACATTTACTTGTAACCAGAGATAACAGGAGATGTAACTACTAACAAATATCGTGCGGTCCTAAATAAGAAATATTCTAAGGGACACAGGAGGGTATAATATCCGCTGCCTATTTGTTTTGTTTACGAAATTATTTACATGTATTAAAAAAGCTAAAATATTTCAACCTATTTTATTGCAACTGAACCCAAAAAATTTTAAATCATTAGTCATATTAAATTTAACTAAATTAGATGTAATAATTTTCAATAATTTTCAAAACCCAGTCAAGTTAGGTTGGGGGTGGCAACACGGCTTACAACGGCATGGATATTTACGTTGTCTATTATAAGCGCACAGCGGCTTATACATACAAAGTTGTATCTGCGTAAAATTTTTCTCTTTATCTCCTTTCTTATTTCTCACCTGTCATCTCTCCGCCCCGTTCGTACAAATACAGTGTATTGATTGTCGAATTAATCTTGGCATCGCGAATATTATATTTTATCAATGACTGGCTATATCTCTGTTATCCCTGCTTCTCCGATCGATTTTAGGAACGATTTCTTTTGGTTTTATATGGGAGTTGGCTTATAGTACACCATAGCTAGTGGCTAGTTAGACATTCCTTCACAAAACTCGCTAACTAAAATTACTGGATCAGGTGTTTCTACTGATACGCCGCCGTTTTGATCAAAATATCATTTTTTTTTAATAAAACATATGTTACACAATAATTTGTTTTTCAACCTAATTGAGGGGTTTGGAATTGAAGAGGTGCAAGTGCACTTTTTCATTTTTTAAGTACAAATTTGTAAACGTCAAGTATTCTTTTATTTGGTAAAGAATAGATAGATACAAGTAAATTTATGACAAATAAAGCCATCTATCGGCATGCAGAAAAGAGCGTCAAAATAAGCTACGGAAATCTTTATTTTGAATATTTGATATTTATATTTTGATCTGTGCATCTTTAAAACGAATGTTTAAGAGCCAACCGAAAACCTTAAAAATTTATAATTCCTTCTGAACCTTTTTTTACTCCGATTTTTGTGAAATTTACAAGAAATTCCAATAATAACAAAACTTAGGGTGGTAAAACCTTCGAAAAGGATTTATTTAAAAAAAATTAAAATGAATAACAAAAAAACGTTTACGCGCCCTTCTTTATTAAATCTATGAAAATTTGCTTTTTGGATGGATTTTTTACCTTTTTTTCTGAAAAGTCTCTGTGGAGTGCTGTTTTATCGTTGCATAAATTTAAGGCTCTCAATATGCTACATAATGTTGTGAATTAATCCCAGTTGCACGCATATAAATACAATTTTATAACATACAATCCTTTAAACGAGTCTACTTCAGTGCATCCTGGATCATCAACTCCAGTTGAAGAAAAATAGCTAGATGATGACGTCATTGAATCTGACTATGAAAATCAATAAAAATAATTTTTTTTAATAAAAATAACTGTTTCTAAATAGTTCTATTTTGTATTCGCCAAGATTAAAAAATTAAGTTAAAATTAAAAGGGTATAAGTGCGTTTTTTCACTATATTTGTCAAATTTCAAATATTTACATACAACACATATTTTTAACGTCTTTATCTTTACAACATTTAACTTTAGACTTCAATATCTCAATATGTAATTAAAAAATTGTACTATAATTCCAAACCTCTTAATTGTTATCGCCTAGGTAAGTAATACAAGTCTCTATAATACCTAATAATTATTTGAAAATACTTCTATTCAATAATTAATCCTGGGCTTAGGCGATTTTTCTCTAATCCACATAATAGTCAAGGTTCTATAATCTTACTTAAGACGAATATTGTGTGTAGTAAAGGTCTATAGTTCTATTACTAAAGTGTTACCTTTAAATTATGACATAATTTTAGGATTATATACCATTAAATGAAACAACTATTCTTATTATTTTCAGCACTCTTTGAGTTTATATGAAAAACGTGATTCTTGGACCGGTTTCATCCTTATTAGCCAGAAATGGAACCAATAAATTCGTAAAATTTACTCGTATACCTTGATGTGAAGTCAGAATATAGCGCAATCTACAGTTAGTAAGCAAAATCGAAGCTCGCTTCTAGTACCCATTTCAAAAACTAAGTGGAATAAAAGCCATAAGCGCAATTTTTTAAAAAAATTCAATCTTATTTGTGACACATGGCTTCGAGATTGTTTTTGTTTATTTTACATTTTCATAATATTTGAGTTTGGAATTAAATTCCTTTTTTAGAAAAATTAAATTCTTACCTTTTTGTCTATCGTAAGCATTTATACACTCAGAGGTCATAAATTGACTGATTAGCGCCGTTTTTCCAACTCCTTGAGCTCCTAGTAGGCATACCGTATACGATGATATGTCTGGCATTTGGTCTGGCATGTCTAGGACTGGAGAAGGGGTTCCTCCCATCGACGGTGGACACAGACTGTTGCTTCTAGAGCGCCGCCTCCTGAAGGAATCTCCTCTATTTACTATACCTGAAACAATATATTTATCTATTAGATTTGTTATAATTTAATTATAATAATAGAAATATTTTTTTTTTAAATGTAGCATCACTAAAAAGTTGATTACAACTTTAAAGTATATTAAAGGATGATGTTTTTTGTATAATGATGTAAAATGTTAAATTAGTAATAATATCAAATTAATATACAGGGTGTTTTATAAGTATCGTCACAGTTTTAATTTATCGCAACACAACGGCATTTCCATGACACTCTCAGAAAATTAATAATAATTTTCTATTAATTCGTTATTAAGTAACCTGAATAATATTTGAAATTTTTATTTGCAAGGTGCGTATGTCCTTAAGCCATCATATCAGTATATACCTTATAAATAGTAAATACATTTTATGAACATTTACAGAATAAACAATTATAGATTGAAATGCAATTGAGAAGAGATATTCTGGCAAAACTATTTAATTATGTATCTTGTTCAATTCATTTTAGTTTTTAACAATTGTTTGAACATCTTTTATTTATTACACATTCCAAATTTATTGAGGTGCTAATTATTTAATGTCAAAAATCTTTGTTGACAATCAAAATGTTGCACGAAATTTCATGTATTACTTGAATAGATCTAAAATACAAGAATATCGTGTAAAACACTCTATAAAATACCCTGTATTAACCTCAGTGCCGGTTTAAAGGTTTCGTAAGCCCAAGGCACTTCTAGCGTAGACCCCAAGATATATTTTTTTATTGATGCATTATAGGAATGCATCTACAGCTGCCATCCGTCGGGATTTCCTCGGATTTGTCCTAGTTGGAGGGCGTCTGGGGAACGTTCGGGTGTGGTTTCAAAAAGTGTCTGGGGGAACTTCGATTAATTGAATTAAAATCAACAAATTGGTGAGCATCTAAAATTCCCTACCACCGGATGTGCACTTGTCCTTTCTTATGTTTTACCAAACATTGCTATAAATCGTAAAGTAGCTGTTTAAATTTATAAAAAAATAAAATATTTATTTTTGAAGTAAAAAAAAAATTCAAGGAAGCCCGGGAAAAAACTAAATTTCACCCAAATGTCCGTGATTTTTTAGGATTTTGTCCGGCGTCTGCAATTTAGGCGATGAGAGGCCTAAGTGCAATTAATATTCTTCTATTATTAAAACCAGTTTTAAGTTTTAATGTGTTTATTTTTTACATAACAAATAGTTATATTTGTGATCTTGTATAACGAAATAAAAAAATCTGATGTGTCCAACACATGACTTTCCTATCTAGTTATTATACTCAGCAAACATTTTGGTGTAATTTGACGTCGATACTACCTAAATTATATATAATAAATTTGGTCGCCAAATTAGATTTAACCATAATTAAGTAAAATTTACGTTGGCTCGACGTGGATTCGACATAAGTAGAGAATAAGACGATGTCGAAATTTGGTTTTATTTACCAAAATAGGTAGAATTACATCTAAATCCACATTATAGTAGCCCAGTACTTTTGGTTAGTAATACCTCTCTAGGGAAATTTGACGTCAGTATAACGTTAATTCGACGTTGATTTAACTAAGTTTAGGTAGAAACTACCAAAATATTTGCAGATGACGTATGCCTCCAAGTGTACGAAAAGAAATTTTATACTTATTTGGTATTTTTATCTATATATAAGTAGAAATATTGTAAGAAATCACCAACACAACTAAAACATATACCTAATTCACATGAAAGATTGAAAAATAAATAAATGTCGGTGACAAAAATATATGTAATGTAATTGCGGTGAATATACAGTTCACGCTTGTTGAAATTAATGCGAAGAAAATTTTGTCGTGCATGTTAACAGTTCTACTTAGAAAAATAACAATGCCCTTCCAAAATACTCTCTAATTTTTTTTTTAATTTGGTGTCATCGGCGTCGACTACTACGGCCATTAGCCTCTTGTTCTGTGTAGGCTTTGTTACTGTTTCCCAGCGCCACTTTAGGAACAGCGCTGTTAATTAGAACCCAACAGTGAATGGTCGAGTGGGGAATCCTACCTATGCATTAGAATTAATATTTAATTTTTTAACTTAAATAAAAATTCCTGCCGCCGGTGGGATTCGATCCTGAGACCTTCCGATCTCAGAGTCATGACTCTAACCACTGAGCCAACCCACCCCCAATACTCTCTAATTAAAAAAAATATAAGAAAAAAATATGATCGTGTAAAAAAAATAATAATAATAATTATGAGCTAAAACTATGTTACGTTTGTTGTGTATCACTTTAGAAAATCAATAATGTTTCGTTTTTCGGTATTTTCATTCGTATGTTTTAGTTACGATCATTTTAAAAATTTAAAATTTGGAATCGTACTTCAATTACGTTAAGAAAATATGGCGTATTGTGTGAATTCGACCTAAAAGTTATTATGACTAAGGAAATCTACGTATTTTACAAATACCTTTTTACTAAGTTGAATTAACTTCAATTTCACGACATATTAGTTAATTTTACCTATTTAAAGAAATAATAACTTATAGGTTTTATAAAAAATTTACCTATAGGTAAATATAACATATTTAGGTCACGTTGTTTCTGCACTTGAGATTTTAGACGTTTCACTTTACGATAAAAATCGGAAGTATAACGATATGATTTATTATTTTTTGAACTCATTTTATTAATTACTTTTCGCACTCATTTAAAGCTCTATCTACACCACACGTAAATTAAGATTACGACTGTAATGGTTTTTTTAAAATGGTCGAAATTCTTAAGAATAATGTCGAAGACAGTAACTGAACAACCTAATTGTTAAAATAACCTAAATAATATAAATTTTACAAATAGGTCGTGTAAAACTCTTTTTAAATTGGTGGTTTTTAGTCGAATTTACTTTGTGGTAGATTTTTCAGGTAATTGCTACAACAAAGTTAATAAATATTTCTTCAAGATGACTTATAGGTGAACTAAATGAGTATTCGACTATTTGTTTGAAATTAGGTAGATAAACAGGTAGAATTTTGCTACGATCTCGACCTAATATTACTTTAAAGGAGAGTAAATAAAAGCGGCCAAATAGGTTACTATGGAGGCATAAAATTACGTAGAATTTTTAAACAAATCTACCTAGTTGGATATTCTACTATAAAGACGATTTTTAGTTGCCAAACAGGTAGATATTACCTAAATATGGCACCTAATTTTACTACAAAGGAAATTTAACTTTGAAGTAATTGTTGGTTATTTTTTTTAGTAGTTTTTCCCTTGCTGATATGGTTAAAGTTACTTTTAAGCAGATTTGTGTAAAAGGTAGATTTCTTGGTATAATTTACGTAAATTTAAATATAAATTAAAACCGTTTGGTAAATTTACATTAGAGGTATATTTTTCTAGTCAATTTTACGTAATAATTACCTCAATAAGTAAATTCGTCTTTAACAAAGTCGAGTTATAACTAATGTTATAGAAAGTGTTTGCTGGGTAGGCTTTTTCCGGTTATTTTGTATAACCTATTGCAGCACCTCTATAAATGTTTAGAGGATAAACTAAATACATACATTTTTTACATACATCTAACTCGAAACATTTTTCTATAGATAATAATATTATAAGTAACTTTTATTTCAAAAATGTTCTTTTCCAAACATAAATAACACATATATTCCATAAAATATAAAAACGGTCTCTCATAAAGTTCCCCCCAGATGTTCCGACTTCGTCCAAAATCTAATGATTCCACCTCGGGCCGAAATAAAATTTAAGTTTAAAATTTAATGTGTTTTCCTTTATCCGTTTCTGAGTTTTCTTTAAAATTCGAAATTTACACATTTTCTCAAATATCTCGAATACGGTCCATTTTAGAGAAATTATGTATAAAATAAAAATTATAGAAAATTATATTATAAACAACGTTTATTTGAACAATTTTTATAAAAAAAATAATATTTTAACATTTTGTCAAATTTTTCGAATACGGACCATTTTAGAAACATTTTTTAAAGAACAAAAATTATAGACAATAATATTCTAAGTAACAAAATAGATAATTTAACAAAAGGCGTAGGTTCATTTTGTGTCAACCGAAATATCGGTGGAGCTAAAAAAAAACCTGAAATTTTAAAATTTCTCGAAGAATCAACAAATTTTAAAGACGATTCCATGCAAGTGGTACCTGAATCACAATCGACAACATTGTCCTTGCGTATGTAAACGACCATAGATGCAGACCTAATCAATTACTACTCTCGTAATTTTCCTATGTAGAAATTTTAGGTTTTGAATTATTCTGATAAGGTAACTACTTGACATTATTATGGAAATGGAAATATACAACTAATGTTGAATAAACATAAAGAGGCAAATGGTTTTTCATTTTAAAAGTTTGAATCAGAAAAATGGATCAACCAGTTGAATTTAATATACCCATAATGAGAAACTTTACCTAAGAAATGTATTTACATTTAAATATATTATATAAAGTTATGTCTGCCTGTAATTATCAATCATGTTACCTAGGCTAGATTGTGTGTCGCGTACAAACCTGAAATCTTTTATTTTAATGACATTTTCTATTGCCTTGTTTGTATAATTTAGTATTTTCAAAAATATTAGTTGTATTGGTAATTTGGATCCCTGCAGGTATTAAATAAAAATAGGGCTGTTGGTAAATTAGTTTACAGTTGGTAATAAAGTATGTCTCGAAAACAGCAATAAGTATTAAACATTAATGTTGATTATGACAGGTACTTAACAAGTCACATCCCACATATCTACATGATCTGGGTAATCAATCCTATAAGTACATATCAAAACATTAATATACTATATACAATTAAACAATAATTTGAAAAAACAGCTGAAGCAGAGTTACCTATTTAGACAAAATAACTATTAGTCTGTTATTTACTAAAACACATTATTTTTATAGACATGCAAATGTCAGCAATGAGGGTAGGACAATAGCCAGATCAAGAATACTTTGGAATGTGCTGTGAAAGGTTCATATGGAGAATTAAGTGTGATAAAATTTT